GCTGGCTCCCTCCTCACCAACCGCTGCAGCAGGACCAGGTCCTCTCTGCCCTGGCTGGGCTTCCAGGAGGTGGGAAAGGGCAGGGAGGAGGCTGGGAACGGGAGAGGAAAGGAAGGAAAAAGTGCTGGGCGAAGCAGCTCTGGCCCTCTCTGCTGCCAGCTGCCCCCAATCTTTCCCTCCAGTCCAGCGCTCAGACCCCTGCTGGGGGAGGGGACATGGGGGGTGGACTGTCCCTTCAGAAGCATACCAAAAAGGGGGAAGAGGGCACAGCCCATCAGTCTTGCAAGGTTCAGCTAGTAGAGCTAATCAACAACAAACAAATTTAATTATAATTTATTAACTTCCCGGGTCACCCGATTCCCAGCAACTACTTTTAACTCTCCTGTGGCCTTGACTTCCTGGCCTGGCCTATCTCTGGGGCTTGCAAGCCCCCCCCCCCCCACCATCCCTTCTTATACTTGAGTGAATCAGGGAGGTGTCTGTCTCAAAAGGTTATCATCTCCTGGTTCTTGGATGCCCCCCAGGCTCGTTGCCTGCCCAATGGAGGACCCTGCCTAATCTCTGCCAAGGTCATCTGTGCAGGATTCTGCACAGTGGCCGAATGTGGGTGAAAGAATTGTAAGTTGCAAGTGGGGGGGGAGGCAATTGGGAGGCTGGTCGGGCGCTATAACTCAACAGGAGAGGCTGCTACGATTCAATTGAGGGTCTGCACCCTTGTCCCCTTTTTTTGGTCCCATACCTCAGGCCCCATAGAAACCAGAGCCTTGTAGCCCTCCTCACCAGCAGGGGCCTGTTTTCTGCAGAGCTGGGCCAGCCGGGCGTGACTCCCCAGCCCCAGACAATTGCTTGGCCAGGAAGCAGCTAGCCCAGACAGGGGTTTTCCATCCGCGTGGGGAAGCAAACGGGGGAACCAGCAAGAGTTGCCTCTTTGGATCTTGTCTGGTGGGGAAGCTGGTTTTGAACTGAAGTCACTGACTGCAGCAGCCACTCCTCCCCCACCCCCACCCCCCAAGCCTCCTCCTGGTGTTTCACAGGGGGCTGAATTTCTGCCTGGAGCCAATTAGGTCCAGATCCTGTTCATCTAATCATCTGCACATTTCAGACTCTGGAAGTTTTGCTGGGAAGAAAAGCAGCCTGGCCTGCATGCGCCCTGCGACTTTTGGCTCCCCCCATCCCACCTTTGGCTTCTTGGGCGCTGCTTCCTACCCCTCCCAAGTGGGGCAGCCCTCAAGACTCTTTGCAAGAGACAAAAGCCACCCTCTTCTTCAGTGGATGTTTGGCTTCGGACAGGCTCTGCTGGGGACGAGGGACCCTCCAGGATCTCCGTTTCTGGAGGGATTCCGCTTGGCAGCAAACCACAAACAAAGCGAGCTAGTTGATTCGAGGGCTGAACTAGGAAATCATCGTCAGGTCTGGGCAAGATTGCTTTTTCATCTAGACCAGTGGTTCTTAACCTTTTTGAAGGAATCACCCCCTTGAACCAATGAGGAAGTTGTCATCGCCCCCCTCCCCCAACATAACCTCTCAATCACAACATAGGAAATAATTCTTCAATGTATGCAAACCCTTTTTTTGTTTTCTTTAAAATTGTCACCAGGACATATCGATGCAAATAATTCATTTCTACTCTTTTTCCCCTATCTCAACTGTGTGAAAAATTTTGGTGCCACCCGTCACTTTATTCCCAAACTTCGTGATGCGTGTATTTCATTATTATCTTATTTATTCAAGAGACTTCAATGTAATGACCACCGAAAACAAAATTCAATTGCAAGAAAGTGAAATGCCCGAAAAGAAAAACAGTATAACATTTAATGATTGAATTACAAGTGAAATTTAAGACGCAAAAAGAAATATAAAAAGGGCATAAGAACAAACCGCAATGCAGGAACTAAGAATTTCAAGACGAAAACTCTGAAGCTAAATTAAGATTCGAGGAAAGTATACATAGTCACGCACACTGTAAAAAGGATTAAAAAGACACATAGAAAATATAACTTTGAAAACACAATTCAATCCACTCATAGCGAGCGATCTGATGTTTTTGTACGACAGATATACAGCGATTCACTGTACGAAAAAGTCTCAAAAGTGTCCCCCAAACTTCTCACTCCATCGCCCCCATATCGCCCCTTTTCGTTCCTTCACCCCTTTTTGTTCCATTGTCCTCCTGAAAAATGAAATCGCCCTCTGGGGAGCGATATCGCCCAGGTTAAGAACCATTGATCTAGACAAGGACTGAAGGTGAACCATTGGGTCACCTCCACGCCAAATCCCTGCAGCAGAGCCAGAAGAGCTGAAGTCCGAGGCTCCGTCCTCGCTTCCGAAGGGCCTGGTTAAGGCACAACAGACGGGCCCTTTCAGCCTCTCTCCTCCAGGGGCCAAACAGGCAGGCAGGTCTTGCTGGCATCCCTCTGGGGGTGGCTTTAACCGCTGCTCTCAGAGCTGGGAGAGGAGAGGAGAGGACTGACCTCTGGGTTGGCACAGGCTCTCCAGGTCATCCATTGGACCTGGGCAGGCCTCAGCTCCAGTGCAGGGCATTGAGCGGGCAAACACCAATCAAGTAGAGGGCGTTTTGAAGAGCGGCACGCCCTCCCTCCCCCGTGTGAAGGATCTGAAAAGTCACACCCCCGGACTGTGAAGTGGGCGAGAGTAATCGCTTAATACCTCAATTACACAGGGTGTGTGTGTGTGTGTGCCTGCTCACTCGCCAGGTTGCTCAATCATGCATGGCATGTTACTTGGGAGGGGAGCGCTAAGCAAACAGAGAAGAGATGTCTTCGAGCTCTTCCTTGCTTCCCTTGCCAAAGCACACACACACACATACACAACACACATATATATTAAAAAAAAAACACAAAGAGAGAATGGGCTAAGCAGGGGGAGAAGGCCAGGCAGGATTTGGGGGTGGGATGGCAAAGGGGTCTGTCCTGGAAGACAAGGGGAGGGAACGCCATTTCGCCTTCGTCCCCACACCTTTTTTGGGGGGAGGGCAGGATAAGCCCTGCAGGGCCCAGCAAGGGGCCCTTAGCAGCGCCGGCCGGCCGCTCCTTCCCAACTGCACAAATATTGGATGCAGCCCAAAGAGAACAGGAACGTTTGACCGGCCCTGTCGGAGGCTGGCTCTCGGCCTCCTCTCCCCTGCGTGCCCTGGGGGTTTGGGACTGCAACGCCTCCAGAGCTGAGGTTTAGGGCCCAGGAGCCTTTCCTGAAGAGATAACTAGCCCAAGAGCGCTGGGCAGTTGCTCTGATCAATTTCCTGGGCTTCCTCTGGCTTTCCAAAATTTAAAAAGGGGGGGGGGTTCTGCACCCCCTCCCTGGATTGTGGCTGGGCTGATCCTCCCTAGAGCAAGCCAGAGGCGGGTGGGGCAGTTGCCGTTTTGCTTGCCTGGGAGAACTGATTACTAAGCCTCCCTCCTGTACTGGGGGGGGGGCTCCCTGCAGATGGATGGATGAGAGCAGGTTAGACCTCCACTGCAGCAGGAATTGGGGTAGGGGCTTTTTTTGAACCCCCACCCCCTCTATCTCCAGAGCTGCCTTTGCTCTCTTGATGCTGGAAGGGGTCCAGGCACCAACCAGTGGGAGAGGCTGCCTGGAAAGCAGCTGTGGTCCCTGCCTCCCGGGTGGGGGGAGAACTTCCTCCATTCTCAAAGGACCCAGGTCAGTTGATGGAAGGGACGTTTCTTCCAGAGATCTGCCTGAAAAGTTGGGGTGAGTTTTCCACCCACCCCCAGGAGTGTTTTTGCACAGGGCCACTACCTCACAAGGCCCAAGCGGGAGGGATTGAGTTTCGGTGCAGGAGAGGGGGCTTTTTTTCTTTTAGAAAATTCCTCCTGCAATCCGCCAATTTTCTGCAACAAAAGCCAGGTTGCCAAGCCAGGATTTTTGGACTCCCCTTCCTGTAGAAGGGGGGCCCTCTCCCCCATGCCTCTCCCCCCCCCCACCTTGGCAGGGCAGCCCATTGCCCTCCCCACTGGATGCTCTGGGTCTTCCTGTAATGGGAAACCTACTAGAAGATCCGGGGACCTGGGGGGGGGCCTTCCTCGCCCCAGAATCCCGCCTCTGGCCCAGCAGGCCGGCCCCTGGGGGGAGGCGCTGGCCCCCCTTCTCCATCCTCCCATGGAAGCATGCGCAGGGAGCATCACTCACCCACGAAAAGCCAGACGGCTGGGCTGCCATGAGGAATAAATGGAATTAATGGAATAAATGGGTGGATGTGGTTGCCCAGCCTCCTTTCGCTTCCTTTTCAAAGGGGGAGGGAGGGCAGAATGGGGGGGCACTTTAATTCCCCCTTCAAGGGCAGAGCTGCCTGAGCATGGCTGAAGTTCATCCCAGACAATGGAGGGGGGGGGCTGATGGACCCCCTCAATTCTTGCTGGCTTTAGTCCCCTCTTCAGCCTGGCAAGTGCAAGACCAGACCCAGGAGTTGACACACCCACAGACCCAGACACACACAGGCACACAGACACAAAACGGAGGGGGGGGGGAGAGGCCCCAGGCAACCAGTCTCTCCAGACTAGCCTGTGTCCCCCCCCCAAACCTTTCAGAGCAAGAACCCCTGCCAGGAGCCGATTAAAATTTGCAGGGTACCTAAAACCTCGCCAAGTGGGGAGCCGGGCAGGGCTTTCCGTCGGCCTGGGGTGTCCCGGTCCCAAACCAGGCACCGGTGCCCACCTTTTTAGAAGGCCAGGGGGCTCCGAGGCCCGACTCCCGCCTTGGCTGCCCCTTGATGAAGGGGGCCCGGCAGTCCAAGCCTTCCGGCGTCCCTTCAGGACCCGGGGCTGGAGAGCGGCTTCCCAGGGATGCGGGAGAGGATCCCGGGAGGCGGCGGGGCGCGCAGGTGAGCGGCGGGGGGGGGGCTCCTCCTCGGGAGGGGAGGGGCGGGGAGGGGCGGGCGGGCAGCTCTTAAAGCGAGGCGCGCCGGCGGAGCCACCAGCGGCGGCCAAGCAGCTTTCGCTCGCGCTCCTCTCGCGCCGCATCAGGGACCAGCCCGGCCGCCCCCGCCGCCCCCGCCATGGCCAACTTCACCGGCACCTGGAAGATGCGCAGCTCGGAGAACTTCGAGGAGCTGCTGAAGACGCTGGGTGAGCGGCAGGCCCGGGCGGGGGTGGTTGAGCTGAAGGGGTCCGGGGGCCACGCGGAGAAGAAAACGGGACGGAGAGCGCGCGAGCCAGGAAAGGGCAGTGGGGGGGGGGGCGGCAGGCGGCTCCTCCGCGCGGGCTGGGGGCTTCGGGTGGGCCGGCTCCGCCCTGGAAAGCCGAGGGAGACTGGACCTCAGTTGCGGGGGGGGCCCCCTTTGAAAAAGCTCCGGACGCCCCCCCAGCCGTGAGATCTCTCGGAGCCGCTTCTCCGGCATCTTTTGCTCCCCTGGCACCCCGAGAAAGGGGGGGGGGCGCTTGGCGTGAGAGGGAGGCAGAGCGGAGCCCTTCAGCAGCGCCGTTCTCCCCCCCCCGGGAGAGACCGGGGCAGGGGGGGGGGAGACTCCAGGCGAGCCTTCCAGACCGCGTCTGTCTTGCCACCCTTTTTTATTCCGAGGATTAGAGGCGCGGAAAGCACG